GTCGGTCTACACAGGGGTACTCCTTTAGCCTCGGGGCAGGTGCTGTTTCGTGGCGGTCGACTCGGGCGTCGTCTGTCGCCGGTTCCAGCTGTGAGGCCGAGGTGTACGCCGCGGCCATGGCCGCTCAGGAGCTTCGCTGGCTGTCTTTCCTTCTCACCGACCTTGGTGAGCGGCCTCGCTCTCCCCCAGTCTTGTTCGCCGACAACAGGTCTGCTGTCCTGTTGTGTGAGGAGCCCCGACTGGTTGGGAAGGCGAAGCACATCCAGCTTCGTTACTTCCTTCTGCGTGAGTTGCAGCAGCGTGGCCAGGCCCGCGTGGTCCGTGTGGTCTCTGAGGCCAACACTGCAGATATCTTCACCAAGGCGTTGCCGCCTTGTGACCACCAGCGTTTCTGCACCCAGCTTGGCCTTGTGCCTGCCCGTCCTCACTTGCTTACGTAGAGATGCATTGTCCTGCATGTCTTGTACTCTTGCATCTATATATATTTGCTATATACCTGCATGTGGACTGGCCTTGTGGCCTCTTGCTTGTTCTCGGAGTGTGTGGTGACTTTGAGCTCCACCCTGAGATTTGTCTTGTTCTTGTGGACTGGTCCTGTGACCGTTGCTTGCTCTTGTTGTTTCTACAGGACTACCGTCACCTAGACTATGGGGGTGTGTCAAACTATATTTCTATAGCTTGTGTAGTTCTAGTCTAGGTGTTCTCCCTTGTGATATTTTTGTACTTGCACTAGGGTTAGGTTTTCATATATCTTGTTTGTACTTTCTGTTTTTTAGTTAACTTTTACATTGTGACAGTCACAGGGTTACACCTTCAGCCTTGGTTCCGGCTCTGTTTTGTGGCGGTCTACCCACTCGTCCTCTGTTCTCAGCTCCAGTTGTTAGGCTGAGATCTACGCTGGGCCATGGCTGCACAGAAGTTACGCTGGCTCACCTACCTGCTGACCGACTTGGGAGAGGCGCCTCGTTCTCCTCCAGTTCTGTACGTCGACAACAAGGCCATGCTGGCCTTGTGTCAGGAGCACAGACTGGAGCACCGAACGAAGCACATTGCTCTGCGCTACTTCCTTCCTCGAGAGTTGCAGCAGCGTGGCCAGCTTCGTCTTGCTTACGTGGCCTCTCGGGCCAACACTGCTGATATCTTCACCAAGGCACTTCAGCCTTGTGATCATCAGCGTTTCTGTACTATGCTAGGTCTTGTGCCTGTAGGGCCTCACTTACTCACCTCTTGACTTTGCTTGTACTGTGATCTATATATACATGCACCTGCTTGCTGTCCCTTGTTAGGTTGAGATCACTGTCTTGCTTGTTCACCTTGATTTATAATTCTGCATGTGAACTGGCCTTGTGGCCTTGAACTTGTGCTCGGAATATGTGGTGACGTTGTGATCCACCCTGAGCTTGACCTTGTCTTGTTCTCTTACTTGTCCCCCACTTTGCCTATGGGGGTGTGTCAGAACCATATTGTAGGCCGTAGTGGGGTTGACAATATGGGGTACAACTCTTTTAGGTTTTCATATTTGTACCCACCTGCTTCCTAGTTGATCTCATTCCTCGTTCATTTTTCACACAGCGGGCGTTGGTGTTTCCGCGAGGGGGTGTTTTGCGCGAAGTGCCGCGAGTGTCTCTGGCGGTGTATCTGCCAAAGGTGTTACATGTAACGCGGCGACTGCTTTTGATATGTTGCCCGTCTTGACGAGTCCTTCAGGTCTTGCACACAGCCCTGCGTCGTCCAACTGGTGTCGTATCGGACTTCCTGTGTCGGGGATGACACTTGCGTCGGTGTAGAGTGTTTCCCATCTGCCGAGCCTGAATTGGTGTAGCTGGTACTCGATCTCAGCCCACCGATTTCCTTCCACTGGCTCTGGTAGTGGTTGTAGTGTCAGCCTCGGCAGAAACAGTAGCACTTTCCAACCTCCTGTGCAGTCGGGATATTTGGATAACCTCAGGAGTGGGGTGAGTAGGCATTGGGTGTAGCTCTCCAGGAGCTTAGGTGGCAGCCGGTCGAACCAGAAAGGGCTGGTTACTCTACTGGAGCCTGGTTGGATCCCATGACGCAACCTGTTCCCATATTTCAGCATCATTCGCTAGGTCGGATGGATGACGTATGCTGGTTCCTGCTGTGTTGCTGCCGCCGCTGCTTCCTCTCCTGGTTGCTCCGCTTCGTTTCTCCCACCTTATCTGTTCCTCACTCTGCCCCTTATGGCCAATTCGTCCTCCCCATCCTCACCTTGTGAGGCTTCTTCGAAGTTCTCTTCGTGTTCGGGGTTAAATTCGCTCCCGCTATCGCCGTTGTCATGGCTGCCTTCCTCCTCATTCGCCACCTCCTGCTCTTGTTCAGGGCTGTTGTGGTGCTCCCGCCACGTTCTAGATCTGACCAGCACTGGCTCTCCGCCCACGATGGGGCCTCTTCCTCCCCTTCTCCTCGATCCCCGCCCTGCTCCCCGCGCGCGCCGGTTCTGCCCGCTCCGTTGCTTCCGCCTCGTCCGCGTGGATTGCGCTTGTGCGTCCCGCCGGCAACCACAGTGCCCTTACTCCCGATCGGCCGCCATTCGGCGGTCCCCAGGTGATTCTGCCTCCCGTCGCGCGGCTTCGCGTTTCCACGCCCTCGGTCCATGGGGGAGCGTTGTCACACTTATCATGGAATAACAATCCAGTGATTCGTGTAACAGAACAGGTGTAGCAAGATCGGGGTGTAGCTCGCGGGAGTCATAGCGAAGAGTTGCAAGGCGGGTGCGGAGGCTGGACGAGGGATGATGGCTTGGCAGGCAGGAGTGGGAAGGCGTGGTGAAGGCGTGAGGGGGTGCAAACGCGCATGCATACAAACCGCAAGAGCGGAGGAGTCGAGGACAGTTGGCAGGTTGGACCTCGCGAGGGTTTGGATGGGAAGCGCACGGTGGAGATGCGTCTCTGTACATAGCATGGGCTGGTGACCGTGTGATCTGCTTGCTTGTATATATCCTGCTTGATAAAACAGGCCAGAGGGCAGGCAGCGAGCGTCCCGTGTGGCAGTGCTCGTTGCTGTAGGGCTAGGCAGAGGTTACATTGTATATAGCTATCTAGGCCTATCAGTTCTGTGCTTGTTTCTTTGTTTCCTGCTTGAGTGGAATTTTGTGCCTCTGCTATCTTCATAGTTAGGCCAGCCCGATGCAGGAGTCAGTCAGGGAAGTGGGGGATTTTTCGACAAAGAAACAAGGTGTCGCGTAGAACATGGAGCTACGCTCAGGCGGAGTATATCAGCCTAAGACGAGAGAAGTTAGCCCTGGGCTAGCGGCGATGCAAGGGGAGAAGACGAGCGAAGGCTCGGCAGAGCCTGAGACAGGCAGGACTTCTGTCACCGTGGAGTCGGGAAGGGGTGAGGTCTACCGACCTCCGGCCAGACGTTATAGCCAAGGAGACTTGCCGGCCGTGGCTGTGGAAACAGGGGCGACGGCGTCGTCTGGGAAGCGCGGACGAGAGCTGCACCGGAGCGAATCGATGGAGCGCGGCGCCTGGAGGGCGGAGCCGATGAGAGGCCGGCCATCGCAAGAACGGAATCGCAGCCCAAGCCGGGTTTCTTGGATACTTTAAGGCAGCCTCCCTTACAACAACTTGTGACAGTAAGACGCTCCTTGGCCCTCTGCCACTCTCCCCGTGGTAAGAGGTTGTACACCTGCAAGTTTTTAATGCGAAAGAATGGATAGACCAAGTAGAGTCTTGAGCATGTACAGCAAGTGAACTTTCTTTCAACCGTTACGCCTACTTAGTGATATTATTGTGTGGAGAGGGTGGCTGGGCATCATGGTTCAGCAAAGGCCGGTTCCTAAACCGAATGGTGATAGGAACACAGGGACCACAACTCGCGGAAGCAGTCGGTGAGCTCCGGAATCGTCATTGGTGTTGACATCAGTCTCTCGGGCTTTGGTAGGTTGACTCTCGCTACTCTCAAGTGTATAGCGCGATGTTCCCTCACGTTGGAGAAGCGCATCGCAGTATTTTCTGCTGCTGGTTGTATGCACCCTGCTGAGTCACTTGGCGGCTCATTCATGGGCCCTAATTCATAGCAAGATCTTGAAAACTATGAGCATGAAAATGAGGCGGCTCGTTCCTAAGCATGGTTGGTCCTCTAACCATGAACGTGGACTCTTGTGGGAGGTGAAGGAATGTAGATTTTTGCATTGTCAATGGTATGATCTCAGTTGAACTAGAAACCACAACAGTAATTGGGTGTTCATTAAAATAATGTCAATGGAATACGAAGGTATGATGTCTCACACATACAAAGGTATTTGCAAAATGTCCGCAGGATTCACCATCACTTATCCCACAAGAGGGATGTTGTTTTGCAATCCCAACGCCATCCCCGGACAAGTTCCAAACCCCGGCATCCTCTCCCACCAGCGTTTTGCTCCAAATCTCCGAAAATTCTTGCACCCACCCTGCACACACGAGCTCCAAAACGCATGCGCCCAAAATAAAGCTCCATGCACGCACTCACAAGAACATGACATTCCAAGAAACAAACAAATCACTCTCACCGACATGGACACGGGGCATCATTGAAGGACACCAAATATGTGGTCAGATAGGAAAACACCAAGGAGGGGGGTCCATAGAGGGACGAGGAAAGTGGAGCAGTGGAGAACGGCACCCATGTGGCATCGCCCGGTAAGGGGTTGCACGGTTTTGATGAGGATCGCTCGTGGACAGCCCATGACATGTTGTAGGAGTTCAGAAAGAGACTAGACACCACAGCACAGCACATCACACCACACCACACCACACCACACCACACCATACCATACCACGCCACTGTGGTCTGCCTGGCTATTGGCTGCAAGCAGCTCACCCATTTGACATTGCCACCGAGGGGGTCACAGGGCTCGGAGGAGACTGGCTGACACGTGGGGCCGGAGGAGTTGCGCCAGTCAACTTTCATGCTGTGCAGCACTGTGACCGCCATGGAGAAGCCGTTCAGCCCCGCCAGCCCTGCTGCCGTGCTGCCGAACGTGGAGAGGTCCGTTATGAGCAGGCGGTCGCTGGGAGGGAATGGGGAGGGCAGCAGTGAGGAGTGATGAGGAGGTGTGTTATGAGAAGGAGGTCATTGGGAGGGAGGTGGGAAGGGCAGGGAGAAGCACTGGGTAGGGGAGAGAAGACAGAACATGGGAGGCAACACGAGGGAGGGAGAGAGCATGACGAGGGATGGATGGGGAGGTGAGCCAGGGCCAACACAAGAGCAGCGAAGTCAACTCAATCAAGGTGATGGCCACTCCAGCAGACGCTCAGAATCGATTCCGAAGCTCAGAATCAAACTACAAGCTTGGATCAATTCAATAGAATCGACGATCAAGGTCAACTCACCAGAAGCTCAGCAGCCACATGTCCAAGACAGCTGATACCATCTGCCCCTCTTCATGTTTCTCTGCCTCTTCATTGGTGATCCTGCCATCGCAAGGCAGCACACAAGCATTGAGGGAGAAAACAAAGGTGTTGCATCAGTTGACAGAAGTCAGCAAAAGTTCAAAGAAATCAAGAGAAGTTAACAGAAATAGAAAAGAAGGGAGTGTGTGTACTGGTGCTGCACGTAAACTTGTTGCCAATGCCCACCAATTACTGTCCCAGGTTAATGGAAGAGCTTCCCTGCACGTGGCAATGCAAGCATCATTGCCGCAGGTCCATCCCATGGTAAGACCCACTGCATACCGCCCCCAGTCAAAAGCGCCAAAGCACCTTCAAGGCAGCTTCAAGGTAGCTTCAAGGTAGCTTCAAGGTAGCTTCAAGGTAGCTTGGAGGCACCATCAAGGTAGCTTCAAGGTAGCTTGGAGGCACCATCAAGGTAGCTTCGAGGCCCTTCCAAGGCACCCCCAAGCATTGAGGCACCCCCAATGAACCCTAATGGCAGCTTCAAATCATGTCCAAAAGCCAACGAGAGTGCTGCCCTGCACGTTGCGGCTTGGGTAGTGGTGCTGCAATGCAAGTCCACTATCCACCCATCCCATTCCAGTGCTCTCCATGTACCATGCGAATCAAGAGGGCCGGAGCAAGGACCACTCACGTCCAGAAGCCAACGTGAGTGCTGCCCTGCACGTGGCTGTGTAGGTAGTGGTGCTGCAGATCCACCAAGTGGTGAATGTTGAGAGACGACACAAACACCCCCATCTTCTCGTATGGTGATTCATGTGCTTCCGCCCGTGATGCGTTCTGATGGTAGGTGTCAAGCGGGGAGATGGAATCGAACGACAGGTCCACAAGGCAGTCACACCTAAGTACAGACGAAAAGTGGACAGCGCGGAAAAAGGTGGGGAGCAAAGAACGAGGTGGGGAGTAGGTTGAAAGGTGGGGAGCAGAGAACGAGGTGGGGAGTAGGTTGAAAGGTGGGGAGCAGAGAACGAGGTGGGGAGTAGGTTGAAAGGTGGGGAGCAGAGAACGGGGTGGGGAGTAGGTTGAAAGGTGGGGAGCAGAGAACGGGGTGGGGAGCAGAGAACGAGGTGGGGAGTAGGTTGAAAGGTGGGGAGCAGAGAACGGGGTGGGGAGTAGGTTGAAAGGTGGGGAGCAGAGAACGGGGTGGGGAGTAGGTTGAAAGGTGGGGAGCAGAGAACGAGGTGGGGAGTCGGTTGAAAGGTGGGGAGCAGAGAACGGGGTGGGGAGTAGGTTAAAAGGTGGGGAGCAGAGAACGGGGTGGGGAGTAGGTTGAAAGGTGGGGAGCAGAGAACGAGGTGGGGAGTAGGTTGAAAGGTGGGGAGCAGAGAACGAGGTGGGGAGTAGGTTGAAAGGTGGGGAGCAGAGAACGAGGTGGGGAGTAGGTTGAAAGGTGGGGAGCAGAGAACGGGGTGGGGAGTAGGTTGAAAGGTGGGGAGCAGAGAACGGGGTGGGGAGTAGGTTGAAAGGTGGGGAGCAGAGAACGAGGTGGGGAGTAGGTTGAAAGGTGGGGAGCAGAGAACGGGGTGGGGAGTAGGTTGAAAGGTGGGGAGCAGAGAACGAGGTGGGGAGTAGGTTGAAAGGTGGGGAGCAGAGAACGAGGTGGGGAGTAGGTTGAAAGGTGGGGAGCAGAGAACGGGGTGGGGAGTAGGTTGAAAGGTGGGGAGCAGGGGGTGGGGAGTAGGTTGAAAGGTGGGGAGCAGAGAACGAGGTGGGGAGTAGGTTGAAAGGTGGGGAGCAGAGAACGGGGTGGGGAGTAGGTTGAAAGGTGGGGAGCAGAGAACGGGATGGGGAGTAGGTTGAAAGGCGGGGAGCAGAGAACGGGGTGGGGAGTAGGGTAAAAGGTGGGGTGCATAGTAGAAGTTGGGAAGGTGAGTAAAATGTGGGGAGCAGAGCAAGGGGTTGGGAGCAGAGTAGAAGGGAGAGAGAAGAGTGAAAGTTGGGGAGCGGAGTAAAAGGTGGGGAGCTGAGTAACCGGTGGATAGCAGGACAGAAGAGAAGAAAGCGAAGATGTGGGAGCAGCAATGCTGAACGTTGGGAGTTGGGGAAGGAACAGCAGTGGGGAAACACTGGTGCAAGCAATGCAAGAGGGGCCTCACTGGTGCAAGAGGGGTGGTGGGCGGCAGGTAGTGAGAGATGTTGATAGCGCAGTCGAGCACACGATGGGCCACTGGCAGTTCGTTTGCATATGGCGACCGAATCTGATGAGCAACATGGCAAGTGAAGAAGAGAGTACAATGATAGACGTCACAGGCACACAAATGCCACCCTCAGAGAACTCCTCACACGCAGAGAACTCCTCACAGCCAGAGAACTCCTCACAGGCAGAGAATTCCTCACAGGCAGAGAACTCCTCACATGCAGAGAACTCCTCACAGGCAGAGAACTCCTCACAGGCAGAGAACTCCTCACAGGCAGAGAACTCCTCACAGGCAGAGAACTCCTCACAGGCAGAAAACTCCTCGCAGGCAGAGAACTCCTCACAGGCAGAGAACTCCTCACAGGCAGAGAACTCTCTGGGCCTCGTTTTGAAGAGCTGGCAACTCACACGTCATTCTCGCTCACCTGAACCCCCAGGCGGTGGGGGAATTGGGCAAGGTTGACGTGCATTTCGGCTGTGATTCCGTCCCATAGTTGGTTATCTGGGTGTAGCAGGTAGCGTGCCACATGTGTGTACACGCGGCCATCTGGGAAGAGCTCGTTCAGCCGTGCCAGCGGAGAAGATAGGTGGGAGGGAGAATAGGGTAGATAGAAAGGGACGCACACACATGCGCGCCTGGTTGTGGATGCAGCAGGAGTGGATGTGTATGTGAGTGGATGTGTATGTCAGTGGATGTGCATGTGAGTGGATGTGTATGTGAGTGGATGTGTATGTGAGTGGATGTGTATGTGAGTGGATGTGTATGTGAGTGGATGTGTATGTGAGTGGATGTGTATGTGAGTGGATGTGTATGTGAGTGGATGTGTATGTGAGTGGATATGTATGTGAGTGGATGTGTATGTGAGTGGATGTGTATGTGAATGGATGTGTATGTGTGTAGATGTGTATGTGAGTGGATGTGTATGTGAGTGAATGTGTATGTGAGTGGATGTGTATGTGAGTGGATGTGTATGTGAGTGGATGTGTATGTGAGTGGATGTGTATGTGAGTGAATGTGTATGTGAGTGGATGTGTATGTGAGTGGATGTGTATGTGAGTGGATGTGTATGTGAGTGGATGTGTATGTGAGTGGATGTGTATGTGAGTGGATGTGTATGTGAGTGGATGTGTATGTGAGTGGATGTGTATGTGAGTAGATGTGTGTGTGAGTGGATCTGTATGTGAGTAGATGTGTATGCGAGTGGATGTGTGTATGAGTGGATGTGTATGTGAGTGGATGTGTATGTGAGTGGATGTGTATGTGAGTGGATGTGTATGTGAGTTGATGTGTATGTGAGTGGATGTGTATGTGAGTGGATGTGTATGTGAGTGGATGTGTATGTGAGTGGATGTGTATGTGAGTGGATGTGTATGTGAGTGGATGTGTATGTGAGTAGATGTGTATGTGAGTGGATGTGTATGTGAGTAGATGTGTATGTGAGTAGATGTGTGTGTGAGTAGATCTGTATGTGAGTAGATGTGTATGTGAGTGGATGTGTGTGTGAGTGGATGTGTATATGAGTGGATGTGTATGTGAGTGGATGTGTATGTGAGTGGATGTGTATGTGAGTGGATGTGTATGTGAGTAGATGTGTATGTGAGTGGATGTGTATGTGAGTGGATGTGTATGTGAGTGGATGTGTATGTGAGTAGATGTGAATGTGAGTGGATGTGTATGTGAGTGGATGTGTATGTGAGTGGATGTGTATGTGAGTGGATGTGTATGTGAGTGGATGTGTATGTGAGTGGATGTGTATGTGAGTGGATGTGTATGTGAGTGGATGTGTATGTGAGTGGATGTGTATGTGAGTGGATGTGTATGTGAGTGGATGTGTATGTGAGTGGATGTGTATGTGAGTGGATGTGTATGTGAGTGGATGTTTATGTGAGTGGATGTGTATGTGAGCGGATGTGTATGTGAGTGGATGTGTATGTGAGTGGATGTGTATGTGAGTGGATGTGTATGTGAGTAGATGTATATGTGAGTGGATGTGTATGTGAGTAGATGTGTATGTGAGTAGATGTGTGTGTGAGTGGATCGGTATGTGAGTAGATGTGTATGTGAGTGGATGTGCATGTGAGTGGATGTGTATGTGAGTGGATGTGTATGTGAGTGGATGTGTATGTGAGTGGATGTGTATGTGAGTGGATGTGTATGTGAGTGGATGTTTATGTGAGTGGATGTGTATGTGAGTGGATGTGTGTGTGAGTGGATCTGTATGTGAGTAGATGTGTATGAGTGGATGTGTATGTGAGTGGATGTGTATGTGAGTGGATGTGTATGTGAGTAGATGTGTATGTGAGTGGATGTGTATGTGAGTGGATGTGTATGTGAGTGGATGTGTATGTGAGTAGATGTGTATGTGAGTGGATGTGTATGTGAGTGGATGTATATGTGAGTGGATGTGTATATGAGTGGATGTGTATGTGAGTGGATGTGTATGTGAGTGGATGTGTATGTGAGTGGATGTGTATGTGAGTGGATGTGTATGTGAGTGGATGTGTATGTGAGTGGATGTGTATGTGAGTGGATGTGTATGTGAGTGGATGTGTATGTGAGTCGATGTGTGTGTGAGTGGATCTGTATGTGAGTGGATGTGTATGTGAGTGGATGTGTATGTGAGTGGATGTGTATGTGAGTGGATGTGTATGTGAGTGGATGTGTATGTGAGTAGATGTGTATGTGAGTGGATGTGTGTGTGAGTGGATGTGTATGTGAGTGGATGTGTATGTGAGTGGATGTGTATGTGAGTGGATGTGTATGTGAGTGGATGTGTATGTGAGTGGATGTGTATGTGAGTGGATGTGTATGTGAGTAGATGTGTGTGTGAGTGGATCTGTATGTGAGTAGATGTGTATGTGAGTGGATGTGTGTGTGAGTGGATGTGTATGTGAGTGGATGTGTATGTGAGTGGATGTGTATGTGAGTGGATGTGTATGTGAGTGGATGTGTATGTGAGTGTGAGTAGATGTGTATGTGAGTGGATGTGTATGTGAGTGGATGTGTATATGAGTGGATGTGTTTGTGAGTGGATGTGTATGTGAGTGGATGTGTATGTGAGAGGATGTGTATGTGAGAACGAGGTGGCTCTCCAAGGTCAGTCAGCACGTAGGTGAGCCAGCGTAACTCCTGTGCAGCCATGGCCCCCGCGTAGATCTCAGCCTCACAACTAGAGCTGAGAACAAAAGACGAGCGGGTAGACCGCCACGAAACAGAACCGGAACCAAGGCTGAAGGTGTAACCCTGTGACGACCGCTGCGTAGCCAAGTCGTCAACCCAAGACGCGTCTGCGTGACCAGTGAGGACCACTGGACTCCGCCCTCCAAGCACGAGCCCCATGCCCGATGTACTGCACAAGTAGCGCAACACCCTCTTCGCTGCAGCCATGTGCTTTGGTCGGTGTCTGCCAGGAGCAACATAGCGTGCCAAGATGCTAAGAGGGTATGCAAGGTCAGGTCGAGTGCAGGTCATCAGGTATATGAGGCAGCCAACAAGCTCTGGGTACGGGCCACTCGGCTCTACGGACTCATCCGAAGGCAGAGCTGAGAGCGAGTGGCGAGTAGACAGAGGAGTGGCCTGAGGCGAGGAGTACGTGAAGCCGAAGCGCTGAAGGACCTGCTGCACCATGTGTGACTGAGTCAGGGTAATGGTGCGCTGTGCTCTGTCCCGAGTGATCTGCAAGCCAAGGTAGCTGCGCAGTTCACCCAGGTCTGTGCACGTGTGTCTCTTCTGCAGCTCGGACTTCACGTGGGCGAGTCCAGCAGTGTCAGCTGTGGCAAAGACCAAGTCGTCGACGTACACGAGGATGTAGAACGGCGGCAAAGAGGTGTCGGTGCGCAGAAACAGCGACGGTTTGGCAGTAGAAGGAGCAAACCCAAGAGCCGCAAGTGTAGTCCTCAGTGTGTCGTGCCACTCACGAGGCACCTGGCGGAGACCGTAGACTGGCCGCCGGAGGCTCCACTGGGTACCAGGAGGAAACGACCCAGTGAAGCCAGGTGGGCGGCGCAGCCAGATCTCCTCGTGCAGGTTGCCCTGCAGGAAAGCAGTGCTGAAGTCAAGAGAGTGAAGCTCGTAGTCGCGTGTTTTTTCTACTCCGAAATGCCCCGAAGTAACTCCGTCGTGTGCCTCCTGTAACAGTAATTCCCGTAGCAGTGTATACCCAGGTACCCAAATGTGGTCAGTCCCGGTTTTTACGTAATAGACTCCCTTTGCTGCTGCGAACTGCTGCGAATTTCCTCCTGTGAAGAATGGATCCGTCTGGTACCCGTGGGTGAATAGGCCTGTCAGTAGCGGGCTTGTCTGGGCGAGTAGTATTGCGTGGATCTGGGCAGTGGGGCGGGTCAGTGCGTCGGCGATGTTCGAGGCTCCCTTTTTGTAAGTGACCGTATAGTGAAAGTTGGACTCGAGGAAATCGAGCCAGCGAATCTGTCGTGGGTTGAGGTGTGGCTGTGCGCGAAGGTACTGTAGTGATTTATGGTCTGTCCGTACTGTCACGTCCGCGCCAGTCAAGTAACAGTGCCATACTTTGAACGCGTGCACGATCGCAAGCATTTCGCGGTCGTGTATCGGGTAATTTTTCTCGGGCGGATGCAGTTTTCGTGACTCGTAGGTGATAGGCTGTAGGCCATTGCCGAAATCTTGTAGCAGTACGGCTCTGATGGCGATATCGCTTGCGTTGGTAACTACTTCGAATGGGCGGTGTGGGTCGGCGATGCGCAGGACGGGCGGGGAACAGAGAACATTTTTCAGGGCAGAGAAGGCAGCATGCTCTTTCTCCCCCCACGTAAAAGCGACCCCCTTCCGCAGTAAATCCGTCAGTGGGGCAGTTAACCGTGCCATATCGGGGACGAACCGACGTACATAATTAACGAACCCTAAAAAGCTCTGCAGCTCCGTGATGTTCGTCGGGGGATGCCACGCTTTTGCCGTATCCAGCTTCTTTGGGTCGATTTCAACTCCAGCCTCTGAAATAACGTGCCCCAAAAATTCTAACCTATCCTGGAAGAACTCGCACTTGGAACCCTTGGTCAGTAATCTGTGCTCGTCTAAAACCTTAAATACTGCTTCCAGATCTGCTAAGTGCTGCTGCTTATCCCGACTGTACACTAGGATGTCGTCGAGGTAAACTATTACACATTTATCTAAGAGCGGCCTAAATGCCTCGTTCATGGTCATCTGAAAAGTCGCCGATGCGTTGGTCAGCCCGAATGGCATCACAGTGTACTCGAACGACCCGTACCTAGTCCTGAAAGCTGTTTTGGCGCAGTCCGATGGTTCGACCCTAATCTGATGGTAACCTCCCCGTAAATCTATTTTCGAAAAAACCCGTGCTGTTCGCAGTTGGTCGATCAGTTCGTCGGCGCGGGGAATTGGGTACCGCGACTTGACTGTTACCCTGTTCAGTGCTCTGTAGTCGATACACATGCGAAAACCCCCGTCTTCTTTCGGCGTGAATATTATCGGTGCGGC